TTCAATTTTATAGAATCAACATACAGCTCACCAATCTCCTTGGAATTTGGGGTAAAAACTCAAACTTGATCTCATTTCTTATTGGCATCCAAATTCAAACTGCAGATCAGCTGACCTCACAGAGCTTCTTGGTGTCCAGCCTGTCGAAGGCCAACAGCTCGGTGGTGGAGACCAAGACTTCCTCGACTCCAAAGTGCTCGGGGGGGCGTGCGCTTCGGGAGGGGTTACGCCGCTCACTCATCCCATTGGAGGAGAGTTTCTTTCTCAAAGTCTTATTCTTTTTCTTAAAAAAAAAAAAAAAAACACCCATAATTCACCAGTAATGTATGCAAATACCCAGAAATTCCCGGAGGCAGCCGCCACAGTAACCGACGATTTACTGTAACAGGAAAAAACAGGCCAGGTGCTAAGGCTGACAACACTCACCGTGGGCGTTTTCAGCGGGGAAAGCTCAGGAGCCGAATTCAAGTCCGCAAATAACTTTGCAAGCTGGGGGGGGAGGGAAAGAAACGCCAGTCAAATAGCACCTGTGCATCGATTCTGCAAGCAATGCAGACAACAGGAAGACGAAACTTGTACAAATGACTTCATATGATTTCATCTGCCACACAGTCTTATTGACGCACTGTTCATTTGACTCCTCCCTCACACCAGGAAGGATTCTGTCCTGCAGCTCCTCGTGGTGGACAGGAGCCCCCCCCCCTCCATCCTGACATCAGCTTTCATATCACCTTCCGCATTTATACCTGGCCAATTCTAGTCTACTTTATAAATCAAAACATTGCCGTTTTGGAATTCCTCTGCCGGCTCCTGGAGGATGGGCCCCCGCTTTGAGTCTGGTTCCTTCCGAATAGGAAGTTTTTCCTTGCCACTGTTGCCTCTGGCTTGCTCTCTGGGGGCTTTGGGCGGGGGTAATGTAGGTGCTTTGGGACAATTTAATGTGCCATACAAAAATAAATCGACTGTTTGATGTTGCATTGCTCGTGACCTAACAGTTGCTGTTTCGATGTTTAGGGCTCGGCTGTTGTACCCTAGAGTGACATTTCTAAGTCCCTCATTATAAGAGTAGATGCATCATTAAGTAAATGGAAACCTACCATTGCTTTATTTTCCTCGATGTTCCTGGCTCGCTTGCTCTGGAACTCACTATCCATGTCGTCATCACCAAGATCTGCCCTGGCGTATGGCCCAAGGGCCTTCCCCCGCCCCCCCAGCTTGGGCTTCAGGGCGGCCCTCGCGCTCTCCATCTCTGCCCAGGCCCCATCAGAGTCCTGGGGGTCCGAGTCGGACCCGTGTTCCTGCCGGGCCGGACGCTTCTTGGAGGGGAATCGGAAGGCCACGCAGAGGCCGGGGGGCCTGTGTCTCACGGGGCTCTTTGACTCTCCTTCAGAATAAAAGCCCGTGTCCTCTGTCGATTCCGACTGGGGGGGGGGGGGGATTACCATACCGTTAAAACAACCTTGACCAAGATAAGTGGTTAGAAGAGAGATGAGTCCATAAATCAAACCTAAATTCAAAATATGACCCAAAGTCTCCCATTAACAGTCTGAGGAAATATAATAACCTGACTTAGTGCAAAACTGTTACTTTGACTGCCCACCACAATAATTTTTTTTAAAAAGAGATTTTAAGCCTATGACCTTACAGGGTTGCAAGTTCACACATGGGCCTAAATCAGCCTTAATTACTCGTATTATCGCATCTAAATTCAGGACAGGAAATTGTTTTTTCGCCAAAGCAACAGCACACACCACGTCCTTTATCCAGCAGTTGAGCCGCGGACTTCCATCCCAGCCGAAGCCCTCAAACTCCTCCTCCTCGCTGTCCGTTTCCTCGGAGAAGATCCGAACCAGCTCCTCCGTGATGTACTTGGACCGGAAACACAACACCTACGCACAGCTACACAGTCAGAGGCGTGTCTGTCTGTCAAAGGCAGGATCCCGCATCCTACTGACAGCGATCCCTTAATATTTAAGCGACTAAATCAGTGAATGATTCTAAGTTTAGACGGGTAATATAATCATATGGCTGTTGTAGAATTCAACACCCCACTTTAAAGTATTTAAGATAAATGTTTAAGAGAGTGACATCCACGGTGTTTTACATGTCAGTGTTATTGCGTGTGAAAAAAAGGACGTGTGTACAGAGTACTTAATCTTAAAGATTAAAAACGGATCGTGCCTAGATTCCCCTGAAAGTGATGCCAATCTGTGCTGGTTCACAATCAGCTGAGGATGGGAAAGCCTACAATCCAAACAGACCTTCCTCATCATCAGAGGTCAACAATAATTCAGCTGAGTGTCACTCAGCGGCGTGGGATGTGGAAAAAGACCAGCAGTTAACAGTCTTAAACTATGCACAACTCGTGTAACGTTATCTAATGACTGGCGAGAAATCGCTGGGTCTGCTTTCGCGGGTAATTGTGATCATGTATTATTCTAGGCACCGGATCAAGCATGCATTGCAGAAATGCATTTCGGTTTTTGAGTTTGAGTGCGGAGAGTATCTGAAATAAGCGTTACTTGGCTATGGTCTGATGTGATCTGACCTAAAACACAAACGTTGTACCTAGTTTTATGTGCTCCGTAAAGCACGCTGCTACTTGTTGAGCAGACAATGTGGCTAGCAATGAGGCAATGTGCGGCATTGTCTGTTACCGAAAACATCCCTTACAACAATATAGTCACTGATGTCAAGCCTAACGACCACAAAGACAATCTTAAACCTAGATTTAAAAAATAAATGCGCTTAATACTCACCTCCATTTCTATGTTTTTACTAGCCTTCCTTTAAACTTTTTCACACGCCTGCACAATGAGATGAATGCTTTAAAAAAACAACACACGCCTAACGCTCCGCAGCAGAGGGAGTAGGTTACGACCCAGTATGCTTACTTAGAAAACAATAAAATAATCCACCTTTTATGTGAATTTATGCAACCACTATGTGTATTACTGAAAACGCTTCATTTAACTTTATGTTAAAATATAAGCGAAGCAATCTCGCAATTACATAAATTTAGCCGTGCCGTCTTGCTCCCCTCAAACAGCTGTAAATGGAACAGTCCAACTTATTGCTCTTCGCAGTTTCGCGCGAAGAGAAATGCTCGCGGCAAGGTGCAGAGATCCTGGCAGAATCAGAATAGACGATAAACAGTTACAGACAGTATAAATACAAACCAAATACACAAGGGACAGGGGAAAGCGAAATGTGTGATAAACTGATTAGTTCCAAAATTTAAGTAATGCAATGTTTAAAGTTTACATAGATACGATCAGAGAACATACATCAGTACATATAGTGCATTACATACTTCACCTGAAATATGCAATTATAAAGAGTGAACAGATTGTCCGGGGTCTGTGCTGATGCAAATTTAAACATTTAAACTGTGCAAATGTTGCATTGTTGTTGATTACAAACAGGGGAAACTGTTGAGAAGCTTTTCTTGAAGCGTGTTCTTGTGGTGAGAGGTCAGAGTCGTCGGCTGAAATAGAACACGCACAATCCTTTTGACACGTTTAGGCCGCATTCATTGGAGCTCGAACGGAAAACACTGTGAAATGGGACGGTCTGGCTAATGGATAATTTCCCGCCCTCACCCTCAAGTCATAAAGTGCTGCTCCTATCGCCCAGCCGAGACACACCCTTTACCTCTGTGCAGTGAATCTTGGGATATGCTGGGCTGCAAAGGATGCATTGGGTACATTCTTCGCGGGTGGGAAAAGGACATGTTTCTACACCACATGCGAAGAAGCCAAGAAGCCTTCGAAATGGGACAGCCTTGTTTCACCACTGAGACGCATTCGGTCAGGGCAAAACCAGAGAACATGGTGCCTGGTGGTATTCCTGTGCTATCGAGTATCCCTGAGATGGTGTTGAGTATCACTAGATACTGCATAATGCAGTAAAGTGCTTGATTGATGGCATGGGCATGAATTATGGGGGGGGAGATAGGGGCAGTTACACCCACCCCCAATAATTAAAACCAACAAATACAATCCCCTGGACTGCCTTAAATAGATGGAGACCTCAACCCAAAGTTATGTCTTTGGTTGATGGTGTTCTTCACAGACTTGTCGGGATGGCAGGCAAATGATATAGGTCCAATAATGAGGAACTGCAGAAATTCAGGTGAATTAGAGCAATATGTCTGAATGCCTTCAGAAACACTGGCATTAGGGCAACAGGTCAGTAGTCATTAAGAGATCCTGCGTAGCCATTTTAACACCCATCCATCTCCCACTGGCCCACCCCACACACGCAAGGGTGGGATTCGAACCCCCAACCCCAGAGGTGTGAAGTGGCTCTGAACCACCATCCTGGCATGGGAGGACATCGCTTATTCAGTGGAGGTGTATGGTTACCACCACTCAAACCACAGATTTGTGTGGTGCCCCGAGTTTTGGGGGCCCCCAGCTGCCCACAGACAGTCCAACATTAAAAAAATAATAAACACTAATACTTATTTAGGAACTTCAATCACCAGCCACCTTTTGCTTCCACTACATTGTTGTCTTTAGTGTTTATTGTCCATCGCTGTGCTAGTTCATGCTTTTAGTCTTCCGTATGCTGGGACAGTCTTAATGTTTTATTTTCACGTACAGCATTTTGTGACTCTGTGAAAGGCGTTTTATAAATTCATTTATAAAATTTATACCATCTTTCAACTTTACTTGCTAGTTTTTTTATTTCGTTTTCGAAACCTCTGAGGGAATGGTAAGGGGGGCACCTACATGGCTTTTTGAGTGGGTCCCCAGGAACAACAAACCGCCTCCCACCCTCCTTAGTAAATGTAGGCAACTGTCAGCAATTTCACTAGCGATGTACACGTCTGTTACACGTCTATGTGCCCGCTAAGGCTCATGTCACTTCAAATTTACGAATACCTGCTGCAGAGACTTTTAAGACAATATTTAAGACTACTCTATTCTGTTCTTTTTTATTTTAGCCATATCCAAAAATCTAAACTGTCCGAAAAATAACAAAGATTGAACCGTACATATTGGAGTAGCAGAAATATTTCACATTTGCCGATACACCTTCACTAAAATCGTTTCACAAGAATGTCCCCGGGAATTCAGAGCGAGAAATATCCTATGCATGAGAGACGCGATTAATAAATATAGGGTTACCCTGCGGAAAGCAATGCAAACCAGGAGACTTATGGCTGCAGATGCCTTAGCGATCTCGAAACAATAAGATGCCGATGCATCCGACCTTCTGCCGCTTCTGACGTTGACCTCTTGCACCGCATAATGTTAATAAACTACCGGGACACGTGGACTCCTTTGAAGACTACTTTGAACTTTTAAAGACACGTGTCTCCGACCCCGGGGGGCAAAGGGCACGACCGTGTGCATCCAACCATAAACCAAGCAATATTAGAGTATACTTTTAAAGGCAGATAGGCCTATATATTTTTCGTGCCGCAGGACGAAGGTCACACGCTGAGTCACTAAAATTGTCCGTTGTATCTCGCATTTAAACTGTCGTCCCCTGCTTTCTTTCTAAGTACGGAATAACTGAGGCACGAATGCAATGGAAAGATAAGTACCGGTGTCTGCCTGGCATTCTCAGGAGAGACGCATTTCCAGGATGACGAAATAGGGTAAAAAAAAATACACAGTGATGGAACGTAGGATTCACCATAATGATGGGTTAGATCTCATTCTTACACAGAAAGAAATCCGGGATCAGCTCGACACGTGTCAGCTGTTATCTTCAGGTACGTTTAGCTTAACGTTTATTTAATGTCGGATAAATGAAATGTTCTTATTCTTAAAATTGACTGTACAACTTCCCCATTTGTCACATGACCGATGATGACGTTACAAAGGACTCTGGCGTCAGTTTCCTGCTCATTTCACTGAATCTACAGCCACAACGACAAAAATATTTAAACCATTTTAAAATTATGAAGCATTGTACACAAAGTAATTTAATATTACATTACTCTTGTATCACAGCAATGTATTGTTTGAAGATAGACTGAGCATTATTTTCTTGATGCAATATTGAACACCTTTCTGAATATATCTGCTCAGAAACCCGAGTGCCATCACTGTTCTGGGGTTAGCCTTTCTGCATGGTGTTTCACCTCCTTTGAAACATCCATAGATGGAAGAAAAACAGCTTCGTGCAGATTTTTATAGGATTGCATGCAGGAAAACATAGGAATGGTTCACTACAGCCTAACTAATTTCCATGGCGTGGGAGAGAGTTTGATGTTGGTGGAGACTCAACTTTCAAATATAAAGTTATTTTTTGGAGGGACAAATGAGGCCAAATTAAATATTAAGTACCCCTCCTCCGATTCCTGCGCCCCTGATTACTTACGTAGTTATTTAGTGGACAGTAACTTTGCGAACAGTTGTAAGCTATACCTTCTCATACAGAGTCTTCATTACATTACAGTTCACCAACAGACGTGATCAATTTATATCAAAAGGTTTTAGTTTCAGTGTATTTATGACAATATTTCCGATGCTCGTCTTACGTTAGAGATCAAGATTTTACTGGACACGGAGTAGACAAAATAAAACCTCTTTATTTCTATCCAAACCTACTAAAAAGACATTTTCTACCCGTTTTAGATACTCAAAATACACGGACCTATAAGCAAATTTTAGTGGATGCATATAAACTGTTTCTCACTACGATTAATGGAAGACGGCGCTAAGGAAGCGACTTGTTTGTCACGCTGTATAGTTAAACGCACTGCTGCGTTTAAATTACGCATGATTGCTGGAGACGAGCATCTTTCGCCCACAAATAATACTTTTTTGTTCTTAATTTTCTGCTCAATTGGGACCTAAGCGCTTCCCACATTGTCAGCGGAACACCTGCAGCTGGGTACTTGGGCTCATCCTCCGGGGGGAATCGGGGCTCTCCTTCCCGTCAGCGGGTCTTTATCTCGGTGCTCGGATCCCGTCAAGGCGCTTCGCTAACGAGCCATTAGATGACGGGGAAATGATACGCTGCGCCGGGCGAGCGGAGGAAATCACAGAGCCCCATCGCCTTCACGCAGCAGGTAGCGCTGTCACAGCAAGCCCAGTAAAAGCAAATTGGAGGCAGCTGTTTAAGCTTTGTTTGGTGTCCCCCCCCCCTCCTCCGCCTTCAGTTTAGGATAAGGCTCGGCGGATCGTCCACACTCTGTCGGGTAGATTGTCGTTGCACCCGGGGGCTTAACGTCAAGCTACGGGACTGTTCTAACTATGTTCAGCATTAATGTCCATGGGACTCATCATCATGAAAACCTCCCTCATGATTTGGACAGCGGTTTGTTCACTTCATACATGATGCCCACAAAAGTCCAGACTCCTACGTTAAAGCAATAAGATGTTTTGGTCAGTTTAAAATTACCAGTCAAACCTTCAACTATGCGTCATACTGTATTTAGGCCAAAGTTTAGCTTTTTTGGACCTGTCTCATGTGTCTTTTCCCCTTTTGGCCAGCGGTTCTCACTGGCCATCCCATGTGGTGTTATCCTAGTGCAGTGTTTTCCAACCCAGTCCTTGGGGAAACCCAGACAATCCACGTTTTTGCTCCCTCCCAGCTCCCAGCCAATCAGGAACACCAAATACCTGGCCCTGCTCCTCGGGCCACTGCGTGGCTTAATGGGCTTTGTGATTATTTAATTGGTTATGCTTCTCACCTGTCCTTTGTCTAGTCCTGTTATTGGTATATTTTAGTGCCTGCGTTTTGTTCTGTTGCTGAGTTGTTCATTGTGGCTGTTGTCCTCTGGTTCCCAGTGTTGTTCCTTGCCTTTGTTTTACCTGCTATATTTTGACCTGTCACGGTCCCTTTGTTTTCTCGTTCTCCGCTTGTGTTCTGTATTGTTAATAAAATCCTGTCTGTTGACAGCCGCTATGTGGATAATCACTCCTTTGTCATGCTCCACCATAACACCAACAACCAGTGTTGCCAAGTCTCTCGATATAAACAAGCATCCTCACTCCTGAAGCCTACTGCGCCAGGCCCAAAAATAGGTCCGACGTACACAACCACCTGGAACGCAGTGTGTCCTGTTTGCCATATTATGTGTGTTCCTTATGCATATAGCATGTGTACAACAGTAACTTAAATACTGGAGGCATGGTTCTAAAGTTTTAATTTATAATTTTCTTTTTTTAGTACGGCAGTAAATAGCTCCTTATGGCTAGCCATAAACTAATTATGGTCCTTACACAAATTATCGGATGCTGAACTTAAATATCACGACACATAGGAAATATTTGAGAGATGCAAAATTACGTGATATATCTGCATAACCAGAACTCTTAATTATCCTTTAATCACTCATTCAGTATCATATTTTAAGCTATTTTATGCAAGTAAGCATAAGTCAGCTGTCTGTCAATCCTTTGATCAATGACGGGCTGGGTCTGTAGGCCGATTATAACTATTGTCATTAATATTTGAATTCCTTCGAATTATAAATCTATATAAAAATAAGATTAGATCAAAAAGCCCCAAAAACTACAACCTCAAAATAAAAAGCCCAAAAAACGCAACCTGCAACTCAATGAAATAAGCGATTTCATAAAAAGTCTAAAGTCGCTTATAATAAGCAGACTTGGCAACACCGCTAACGACCGGAAATGGGATAGTTTTCCTTCCTTCGAAAGGTAATATGAGGAAGGTATTCGGTATATTACGCAAAAATGAATGCTGTTTTTTAAGATACCCGTTGAAGCTCGTTGGGACGCAGGTGCAGGAAAATTACCGCCCCCCCCCCCTTCCATCCAAACGCCTCAATTAAAACACCCTCAAAGTGCTTCTTACTGGCTGCCTTCCCGCTTCGTGCTTCTCTGCCCCCAAAACAAGCTTCTTCAATTCAGCACTACTTCCTACGCTTTAGGCCGAAAACCAGGATGCAAAACTTTTTTCGTCTCAGATTCTTGATGTTGATTTGCTCTTATTAATGAGTCAAGACCAGGTTTAAACACCTTGACATGAAATTTTCACGTACATTTTTAAATTATATGACCGGTAGACGCTTTTCTATCGACATGAATAGCAAATGCTGAGAGGAGGCGGATATTCTGTGAACCATAGGCATTAACTTAGTGTATCTTGCTTTTCCTCCATATTTGTGCAGATTGTCTTCACGTTATGCCCGAAGAAACTGTTCGTAGATGTTGACAGACTGGTATCCAGTATTCGCCGATACCCGGAAGAATCTTGCAATAATCTCCGGCTTTCAGTTTTAGCAGTTTCCTTATTTCAGCATTGCGAGTAAGTATTAAAATACGTGTTACATGTTTTTCTCATAACATTCCAATGGCTGCCATCAACTATGAACACGGCAATTTTTGTAACATAAAACGTTTTATTTTTCAATAAACTTTCAAATCACTGTAAAAATGCATATAATTAGAAAATAGGCATGGTTTGGAAGCGGCGTGAGGGACGGACATGCTGAAAATGTATTGCTTTATAGTTTTTCTTTTTTTACATATAAATAATTCACACACTTTGCATATTTACAGATTATTACAAAGGCTTCTGTTCCCACAAGGTGAATTGGTCGATGTGTGGTTTAAGAACTCCATGCAGACCAGTTTAGTAACATCTTGAAAAATAAATAAATACATACAGAGCAATAATTGCTGGAAAAACTACAGCCCACAACAAACTATTTTAATTTTCCGTATATTTTGATGAGTCCAAAAACGACAGCCTTCTCGAAACCGCTGTCCTCTCATCGATAATTCCCAGAGAAACGTCTCTATGAACGAGGGATACACAAATCCGCGTTTACAAAAATTGTACTACTACAGAAAAACGGAGCGTGTGGGTTGCAGATTTTCTTCAGTCATACTTGTTCTGTCTACCGTAACCCCTGTACAGTGTATAACAAAACTCGCGGCTTCTATTTTATCACCCTCATTCAAATACCCCCCCCCCCCCCCCCAATAAATAATATTAATGCCTCACAGGAAAATATTCACAACATCTTTACAGAAAATCTACACGTGTTGTGTGTAAACAGGTTTACGGATACCATGAAAACCACATAGTGGAAATCTAAAACATATATCCACTATTACACAAAGAACATGATAGCAGAGCTGCAGAGTATAAAGTTCTTTTTTTCTTTTCCCAAAACCAGAGTCCGTTCCTGGCATATATGTATTATAGCAAATGTTCGAGAGCGGAGAGCGGGAGTCGCACCATCCCGAGGACGCTACAGGTTAATTAACGCGGTTTGGTCGAAGTCGTAATGAGAGTTGTAACTGTGCACCACGACAGAGTCCGTTAAAAAAGATACACGAGGGAAACGGCCATATGAGGCCTATAAAACTGCTGCTGCAGGCGAAATTGCAAGCTGGGCATGTAGAGACTTTGTCGTGACGATAGATTGCCCGCGGTCTGCAGCAACACGCGCCACGATCGGGGCCTTGCAGAAATGCAGCAGGTCGTGAAATGGCTGTACTGAGATTTGATTACTGAAGATAAGGCTCAACACTGTTAAAAACACTGTTATTCTACTTAAATTGCATTGTCTTCCTTAATTGTTTGGCACCACATTAGAAATATTTTATTGGCTTCTGAAACACATACATACCTCTAAAAATATATTCTGCTAATTAAGAATATGGAGCTTTGACTGAGTTATAGGGAGGTGCCAGACCAAATTGAGTCGAAGTACATAAAAGGTGTGGAATCAGGGAACGTGGGCCTGCAAAAACACTGCAGGACAAGTAGAATTATTATGGTTTCACAATACTTTGTCTCCAGAAGACACACACACACAGACACACTTTAGTTTTGAAATGACTCTGAATTCAATACTGTTATTTCTGGTCACTTGTAGGATATGTTAACACTATCAGTTATACAACTACTCTGGATGAACTCTTCTCCATACTGAAAACTCCCAAATGTGGCTTTTAAATCTGCTCAAAGTCGACTAGCAAGCTTCATGGTTGCACATCCCTGGACGCCAATGTCCTGCCCCTCTCTACGCCTATTACATTTGCGTGTATTTGACATTTCGCGTGTTCAAAATCTACAGATGCAGAAACGAACACCCCCCTCTGGGGGGTTTGAAGTCCTGCCATTCAGTCACTAGGTGCCATTTGCTTCTCGTTTGGCTTCTGCATTGGTATTCCGCAGCTGAGTGTCTGTCTCCTCCTGGTGGTTGAACATAGAAATGCGTACAGACTCGTCAGAACCTGTAGTTTGCGTTCTGGGATGTTCCAAGCATGGACGCCTGTTCCTATTTTGTTGCCCCAATACAGGCCAAAGCGCCATGTGTCAAGGAATGACCCCCCCCCCCCCATCTCAAAGTGCTTGGCGTGTGAAGTGCACACTCTCAGTCTTTGTGGCCTAGGCCCGTGGCTCAAGTCGATGAGACAGTTCGAACAGGATCTGCTGATTGTCGATGATGTGGAGGTAGTGGACACAAGCCCGCACCTCTGGACTATCTTTCTGGGTCATCTCATTGCCTGGGGTACAACAAGATAAACACACACCTTCAACAAACCCATCGCATCAGGATTATCAGCAAAAATCTGTGATGGCGAAATGAAGCTTCATGAACCATTTGCTGTATCTTTTGGTCCCACTAGATGGCGCTCTTGGCTTTGAGCCCTTTTTTGAAAAGAGGACATCGTCTCGTGACAGCAAGTAGTTCACAAAGCTTCATTTGCCCATCACTAGCGGAAAGCCGCTATCTTTTTAGCACATTAGCTAAAAACAACACTGATAGGGTATCTAGTTAAAGTTCCTGGTTCCCTGGAGTAGTGGGTCTGAAGATGGATGCATGGATAGATGGATGAGTCTAAAATAACAGCCTTCTCAAAACTGCTGTGCTCTCATCAGTAATTCCTAAGCAAACATCTCTCCATGAAAAGGATGTACGGCTACACAACAAATCAGTTTTTAGAAGAACTACTACAGAAAAAGAATGTAGGTAGATTCAAACAAGTCATACTTATTCAGTCTAAAGAGAGATGGATGGACAGATAGATGGGTAAAAAAAAAAAGTATACTGATAACAGGCATGTCACCCACCGTTCACATGATGGTTTATTTTGAGTCCATCTGAGGATATTGTCCATTTCAAAGAACTTCAAATACTCAGATCAAGTGCAGTGATACTATCTGACCACTAGAGGGTGCACACGCCTTACAAATGCCTTCAGTCAGAAAATAGTTCCCCTGCCTCTTTTATTATCGAGTGCTATCAGGAGTACAGCACTGCAGTGGTAAGGGAAAGCAAACATTTTCATTGTGTTGTTCCCCCGCAGGGGGCCATTAGCGCTCTCCAGTGGATGCTGCCATGAGCAGGATGCCTGCGTGCTTCACTCCCTGGGGGAAACCTTTAATGTCTATTAGATCCGCGAATCTGTGACTCGTCAGCAGAAGGGATCGGCTGGGGGGGGGGGGGGGGGGGCACGGACATCCTCATACAGCCGCCGCTACAGAACAAGGGCATTTGTGTGTCTCGCACAAACTGAATAAGTTAGAGAAGCATTAACGGGGAGCAAATTTGTCATGGATGACGCGTTCATTAGGGTCTGTTCCTCCCGCAGCTAAGTTTAGAATGCCCATAAAGTCCCCCTCAGTCAGTGTGTTGTGGGCTATGTTAGTGACTCCCCGCTGGTGGCACATACTGCTCAAGGACCCCCCGCCGTCACGGTCATCACACGACCTCCTCTGATCGCTGTATATATAAATTCTCACAAAGGACGGGGAAGATGAAGTGCCGTGAACATCTTCACACATGAAATACCACCTGTGACCACTAGAGGCCACCGTTTCTCACATACTACATTCTGCATCCCTGATAGACGCGTGCGGGCAGGAGGAATACCTACCCATGTGATCAGTTTGGCAGTGGCGCATCAACCGAATGGCGTCTGCAATCATATGCTGTGGGGGACAGAGAGAGAGAGAGAGAGAGAGAGAGACATGCTCTTTAAGTATGGTGCATAAACAAACACGAGTACGCCGGACACCCTCTCCACTCACCAGCTTCTCAAAGTTCACCAGGTTGTCCAGGAACGTTTTGTTGCCCTCATGAATAAAGGTGATGTCTGAAAGGCCAAAAGGGGAAAAGAGGTGAAAGTTTTCACCACACCGTCACCCCTCAAAGACCAAGCCTCCACACACATCGCTGCACAGGCACTTACCCTTCAGCAGGAGAGGCATAAAGGGAATTTTCGGGGGCTTCATCTTCTTGAAAGCGTCCCTGTAGGCCTTGTGATTCAGGGACGGGTCCTGAGGAGGGACAATTAGAACGAACTGCTGGGCAGGAGGCACAGCCACACAAAAGGCAAACCACAGACTCTCATTTATTACAGAACCCCCCCCCCCCCACAACTTACTGTTAGCAGTTCCAGTTCTGAGAACAGCTTCCTGAATTTGCCTGGAACTTTCTGGAAAACAAAAACGAGCATGGGAAAAGTGACCCCAGAGAGTCTCAGCTTGTGACGCTCCGACTACTCCAGCTTACATGCCGAGGATCGCGCTCATGTGTAGCCCTGCCCCCCCCCCCCCGTATTTACCTCCCACGTCTGGCTCAGCCGGCTCACCGCTGCCATCGTCAGGCCCATGATGATGGCAAACGAGGAGTTCAGGTTTCGCTGAGATTTACAGCTGGGGAGGGGCGACGTTAACAATAGTTCGTCAAGATTTTATTCGCGGAAATGAACCTGTGCACCTCGCAGTCTAAGAAAAGCGGCGGACACACAGACAGGCCTCTCCCTTGGCCCCCTCCTGCCCAACGACGTGTGACTAACAGGATAAATATTTTATATGTCCTGAAGAGCCCCAAGATGGTGTCCCTCCTATTTTGTGCCATGTTTACAGATACATAATAGAGGGGGGGGGGCACTCAGATTGAGGTATAAGCATACAATGATCATGGAGTACACGTGAGGTGCAGCGGGGGGGGGGGTACACATGCACATGTTGCCAGACAGGGGGGAGTCTGCCATATGGTGCATGTGCGTGGGTCGGGGGGGCAGGTACTGCAGATGCCCTCTCTATGCCTACATCGGCCCCCACTAGTTTCCCTTAGGCACTTTCTGAACTCAAAACAAGCTGACCTGCATTCTTTTTTTAAAGGGGGGGAAGGCATTGTTTATTATGTCTGCCTGCTATACCTTCCCCCAAAACTGTAGGGTCTGTCCAGAACAAAGCAATGAATGCCAGACACTTAGAGCTAGGTGGTGGAGAAGGGCACCCTGGGATAGCAAGACTATAAAGACCATTATGCAGCTACATTTCATTTTAGTACCTTGCCTTGGGACTTGAACTAGCAACCTTCTGGTTATGAGTGCATTTTCGAAACTGCTATTCCTCCTGTCTACAATGGAGCTGTTTGTTTTTAAGCACATTTAACATGTTCTGACAGCTGGCCTTAGGGCAGTAGTCACAAGCCCAAAGACGGGGGGGAGGGGACCTACTGGGCAGCGATCTTGATGAACTTCTTGAGCAGCTGGACGCGTTTGGCCACTGTGGCACACAGCAGCACCTCTGTGGTCACCCACAGCTGCACCTCGTTGCAGCGCTGCAGGAGGAGCTCCAGCGCTACGGTGCGCCCCCCACTGGCTGACCGGGTGAACGTGTGGTAGATCAGCTCTTGCTGCAGTGCAGGGAGGAGAAACAGAGAACAACGTTTCAGCCTCATCTACGGCAGCTGAGCTCAGAATGATCAAACTGCAAAAGCTTATAATTTTACAGTTTTGTCCATTTGGAAACTGAATTAGCCACTACTTACTATTTAACCAATGTCTTATGTTACATGCTTTGCTATACAAACAAAAATTAAATAAAGGGATTAGAACCTGTGACCTTATGGTTAAACACCAACGCATGTGCGTTAATGAGCTTCACCTCGTGGATGGAGCTGAAGAGACTCCAGTCAAAGCTGGTGAGGGCGACAGCCACATCCCACGTGTTCAGGCTGAGCAGTCGGGCAGCTCGGTGTCCCAGTTCGGCGCCGTCCATCAGCGGCTTCTGGGAGGGACAGAGAAGGTGGGGGAGCGAGACATCACACTGCTGGATGTGTGTCACTGGGTCACGGGGCTTCAGAGAGCAAATACAGAGGCAAATGATCCTGGATCTAGACCAGATGGAGGCGCTGGGTCACAGAGCATAGACCCTGCTAGCGTACCATTATGTCCCCCGTGTCCTTCCGGTACGCTAGCAGTCTCTCAGGTAACGCCAGGGACTCCGAGCAGATGCTGTCATGGGGCTGAAGGACGAGCTTCTCTGCACAATGAGAAAAGCACAGAGCGGGCATCAGCAACATGGTGACGAAAAGGAGGTGTGGCCTCCTTCCAAATGCTGATTGGCTCTACTCAAAGAGAAAGGGATGCTCCGCCTCCCTTTCTGGAATTATAGTATTTTGCTAAATACGAGCTGTGGTCCAGGTACCGCCTATGGATTTGGGGGCGGGAGTGGGGCTGCGCCCAACCTTACCGCCGGTGTAGCTGACGGCCGCCAGGGCCAGCTCCTCTTCTGCCTGCTCCATCTTCTCGGCCACAACGCGGAGCAGGTCCTGGGCCACCACTGTAGCCTTCGCCCTCACGCTCAGGTACGAGTCCGGAGTCACGTAAACACGGCACAGAACTACGGGCAGGGTTCACAGACAAGGGGCGCTAGACTGAGTCATTGTTAACAGCTGCGGAGGCGTGTCTATAAGTATCATCTATATACCCTTACCTGCATATTGACCTTTATCTATACATTAGTGATGGCCAAATGAAGCTTCATGAACCATTTGCTGCATTTTCTGACCCCACTAGATGGTGCTCTTTGTTTGCTTTGTGGCATGCCTTGAGCCCTTTTGTGAACAGAGAGCACCATCTAGTGGGCTCAGAAAATATAGCAAGTGGTTCATGAAGCTTCATTTGAACATCGCTACTATACATTTAACTGATCCTAGATTTACTGGATTAACAGGCGGCTGCTAATGCTCTCTTTTCTCTCCGTGACGCAGCGCGCATCATTAGGCAGATAACCTACAGAGTTGCCAAACGCACATAAAGCCACCGACTCCTAATGGGACAGTCACAGAGCGCCGCCCCGGGGGTGGGGGGAACCAGGGTCCTACCTTCCCTGGTGTCGCTGTACACGCCTCGGAGCTGAAGACCGTTCTCCTTTAGGCTCAATTGGTGGAAAAGGACCTTGTTCTGTGAGGGAGGACGGAGAATTAGTGGAGCGTAACTCGCTATTGTGTCAGAGGCCGTTTAGCAATGGAATGTTCCAGCGGGAGATGAGGTAAGGAATGGGGCATTGAGTCACAGAGGCGCCTTAAAGCCCGAGTCTCTACCTTCTACCTACAAGCGGACAAGTCATGAAAAATGACGCAATGCGCTCACAGTCATGAGGGAACTAGTTTCCTCTGGGTCACAGGTCAGACTGAGCTGGTCTTTTGTGTATGAATTCTTGTGAATCATTTTAAAAAAACTTTCCAATAAAGCGAAAAGAACAACCTCCTCCCCCCCCCCCCCCCCCCCC